AAAAAATATACATAATTATTTGAAATGCAGAGTTGAGAGAGAGAGAGACAGAGACAGAGGGATAGATATCTCTTCTACTGCTGGTTCACCCCTAAAATGCCTGCAAAGATCCAGGCTGTGCCATGATGAAGCCAAGAGCCTGGAACTCCATCCTGGTCTCCCACATGGGTGCAGGAGCCCAAAGACTTGAGCCGTCTCCCACTCCTTTCCTAAGCACATTAGCAGGGAGCTGGAAGTGGAGCAGCTGGGGCTTCAGTCCGTGCCCATATGGGATGCTGGCAGTGTTGAAAGTGGCAGCTTAACCTGCTGTACCACATCGTCAACCCAGAAATAATTTTAGGCTTACGGAGAAGTAGCAAAATTATAGCAGTGTAGAGAGTTTCCACATATCACTCAGAGTCTCCCTATTTCAAACATCTCACGTAACCATATTACTATTACTGAAATCAGAAAATTAGTAGACTTTGAATTTTGTCAGTTTCCCCACTGATATATTTCTTTTGGTTCACATTCAGATGAGGAATCACTGCTATATTTAGTTTTTTTTTTTTTTAAATCTACTTAATCTACTCTAATCTGTGAAAATTATCTGTTTTTCATGACTTTGACAGTTTGGAACATTGCTAGACAGTTATTTTATAGAATGTTTTTCAATTTGAGTTTGATGTTTTCTCATGATTAGATTGTTTTTTAAATTTTGTGCAAGAATTTCGCAGAATTGATGTTGTGTATACTATCAGGATATAATGATACAGACCCACAGTACCACTGTGAGGGAACTTGGGCGCAGTGGTTTCTGTCAAATTCTCCCCTGTAAACTTAACATATTCCTTTGCAATCAATGAGCATTTTGTAGAGAAATAGCCTTAGACTCTGCAAGTATTCTGTTTCTCATCATACCTTTGCCCACTCATTTCAAAACCCATTGATGATTCTTATCTATGATGATTATGACTGTTTTGATTCCTAGTGGTGATTTTCTGTTTTTATCATCCCTTTATCCAATATCTGGCTGAAGACCAGAAAAGGGGGAGAATCACGATGTGGTTCTGTTGGCCAGAACTCACCTTTTGGCGTCACAATTTCACCACAAAATAGGGGCAGAAACGCAAGGGAATGTGGGAGAACAGTGGCCCAGTGTGCTCAGGATGACAAAGAGAAACATGCAAAGTCATGAGCGTTAGCATTCTTTGCCATGCCTGGGGTGCTATGCAAGTATCATTTTCCATTTCTGTGTGCCGTGAAGTGGAAAGTTTAGGGAAAAATAGATTCAGAGAGACTAAAGAACTTGTACAAATTAATTAACAAATTAATTTTCCCAATTAAATCATACTGCCTAATTAGTGCAGGAAACAATCTTATTATTATGTCTATTTGGAAAATTTTTGATATGTAATAAATAATCTTAAAAAAAGAAAATCAGTGGGAACATACCAAAACTTAAATATAGCTAGAAAGATTTAAATGTATACCATGTTTCTCTCCCTTGATCTCTATTTTTTTTTGTAAAGAAAAAAATATTTATTTCCTTTTTATTTGAAAAGCAGAGACAGAATGGGGGGCAAGAACCAGAGAGAGATGGAGAGATAAAATGAGTGAGATCTTCCACCTGCTGGTTCTCTTCCTAAATGTCCATAACAGCCATCACTTGGCCAGGCTGGAAATCAATCCAGGTCTCCTATGTAGATGGCAGTGACCAAACTGTTTCAGTCATCACCTGCTGCCTCCCAAGGTGCAGGAAGCTGGATTGGAAGCAAGCCAAGACTCGAAGCCAGGCATGCCAATATGGGATGCAGGCATCCTAAATGGCAATTTAACTGCTGTGCCAAATGCCCATCCCTCCCCTCAGTCTCTAAAGCAAACAAAAATCTGAGAATGACAATCACTCTCTGATGCTGAGGGCCAACTCAAGTTCTCTACAGATGCTAAGGGTTACATGCTCTGTTTTACATCTGTGTCAGATTACTGCTTTCTGTGGCTTCTTTCTTAGTAAATCTTCTACCCTCCTTGCTAAGATCCATTTTTTGCTTGTCTATAAATTTTAGCAGTCAAGATTTTAGGAACTTAAGGATTATGATGGAAAGTTTCTAAGGAGAGACATGGGTAATCCTAATTCCAGATTCTAAGATATGTATGTATTTGTTTTCTGCATACTCAGTTCCAGGTGCTGATCAGAGACAAACAAAGGATGAGTAAACAATTTCCTGTTAAGAGCTCATATCCTAGTGTGAGGATCAATTAACACATACAGAAAAAAAAAAAACTTTAAACACAGGTAAATTTTAACAGGCTGATGTGAGAGAGACAGAGTAGATGGGAGATGGAGTCCTGCTGCTTTATAGGAGGAGGTTGCACTATGCGATGTTCTGAAAAGAAAATTAGGTTGTGTAGGGGGAACCTATCCAAATGGAAAGTTCTCCAGATGGCAAAAAGCCTGGTCCAATGTGTTCAGTGACAGGAAGAAATTTGTGCATCTGAGCTCTCTCTCTTTTTTTTTTTTTTTTTTGACAGGCAGAGTGGACAGTGAGAGAGAGAGAGACAGAGAGAAAGGTCTTCCTTTTGCCGTTGGTTCGCCCTCCAATGGCCGCCACGGCCAGCGCGCCACGCTGATCTGAAGGCAGGAGCCAGGTGCTTCTCCTGGTCTCCCATGGGGTGCAGGGCCCAAGCACTTGGGCCATCCTCCACTGCACTCCCTGGCCACAGTAGAGAGCTGGCCTGGAAGAGGGGCCACCGGGACAGAATCCGGTGCCCCAACCAGGACTAGAACCCGGTGTGCCGGCGCCGCTAGGCGGAGGATTAGCCTAGTGAGCCGCGGCGCCAGCCCCATCTGAGCTCTTTAAGTGAGGGTGAGTGGTCAGGGATAACACGACGGAGGGAGACAGGGGCCAGAGGGCGCCAGGTCTTGAGGATCATGGTTAGGAATTCAGGGACTGTTCTAGAAGCAGCTGGGGGCCTACAGAGGACTTTATGTAGAGGTGTTATTCTATCAGGCTTATTTTTTTAAAAGATCACTCTGATTCCTCTCTGGAGAATGGGTCCACGGGAATATTAGAGAGGCAGCAGTTCAGATGAACAGGATTAGGTTTACGTTAGTAGAATTGCATAAAAGACAGTGAAAGTTCTCAACACCTTCCAAAATAAAGGTCCCACCTTATTATTCTGATATCATATAGCACTCTTAGCCATCATTTGATCATTTGTTTATGCTCTTTGGGTTGTCAGATAAAATACTGCGTGGGCCCCTGTCACCCACATGGCGTACTTGGAGTTCCTGGCTCCTGGCTTCAGCCTGGCCCAGCCTTGGCTATTGCAGCCATCTGGGGAGTGGACCAACAGATGGAAGATCTCTTTCTCTGTGTGTGTGTGTCTAATTCTCTGTCTCAGATAAATAAATTAAAAAAAAAACACAAAAGACATGGCTTGGCAGGTTTAGCGTTGTGGCTCAGCTGGTTAAGCTGCCAGTTGGAACATTTGTATCCCATGTCGGAGCCCCGGTTAGAGTCCTGGCTGCTGTGACCACAAGTACTTGGGCCTCTATCATCTACAAGCGAGATGGGCATGGCGCTCCAGACTCCCGACTAGAGCTGGCCCAGCCCTGGCTGTTGCAGCCTTTCGGGTGAGTGAACCAGCAGATGGAAGATCTCTGTTTCTTCCTCTGTCATTCTTTCAAATAAATAAATCTTAAAAAAAAAACAAAAAACAAAAAAACATGGCTTGGGACACCAGCATCCCATACCAGAGTGTCTGGGTTACAGTACCAACTCCTTTCCCATGCAGCTTCGAGGGAGGCAGCAGGTGACGGCTGTAGCAGTTGGGCCCCTGCCACCGACGTGGGAGACCTCGATGCCTGCCTTTGGCCTGGCCGCGCTCTGCCCGTTGTGGGCATTTAGGAGGTGACTCAGCAGATGGACCAAAGAAACATTCCTTGTTTATCTTAACTTCATTGGTCTCCCTATAACCCTGCTCCTACACGAGTATCAGCCCTACGAGGGAGGAAGCGTGTGTGCCTCCTCCGAGTACCGGGGAGCACGCAGCAGGCGCCCACAGCCGCCTACTGAAGGAACCAACGAGGCGCTGAAGCCGCAGGGAGCGACCACCGCCCAGCCGCACCGCGGGCCCCGGGAGGCGAGGGGCGCCGCCCGCTGAGGAGGGTCCCGGGAAGAGAGGGGCGCCCGCCCGCTGAGGAGGGTCCCGGGAAGAGAGGGGCGCCCGCCCGCTGAGGAGGGTCCCGGGAAGAGAGGGGCGCCCGCCCGCTGAGGAGGGTCCCGGGAAGAGAGGGGCGCCCGCCCGCTGAGGAGGGTCCCGGGAAGAGAGGGGCGCCCGCCCGCTGAGGAGGGTCCCGGGAAGAGAGGGGCGCCCGCCCGCTGAGGAGGGTCCCGGGAGGCGAGGGGCGCCCGCCCGCTGAGGAGGGTCCCGGGAGGCGAGGGGCGCCCGCCCGCTGAGGAGGGTCCGGGGCGGCGAGGGGCACCCGCCCGCTGAGGAGGGTCCCGGGAAGAGGGGCGCCCGCCCGGCAGAGGAGGGTCCCGGGAAGAGGGGCGCCCGCCCGCTGAGGAGGGTCCCGGGCGGAGCGGGATGCCCGGGCGCTGAGGCGGGAGCCGGGCGGCGAGGGGCGCCCGTCCAAGGAGGGTCCCAGGCGGCGAGGGGCGCCCGCCCGCTGAGGAGGGTCAGGGCGGCGAGGGGCGCCTGCCCGCCGAGGAGGGTCCGGGGCGGCGAGGGGCGCCCTCCGCGGGGGCGGGTCCCAGGAGGAGGGGGCGCCCTCCGCGGGGGCGGGCTGAGGAGGGTTCGGGCGGCGAGGGGCGCCCTCCGCGGGGGCGGGTCCCAGGAGGAGGGGGCGCCCTCCGCGGGGGCGGGTCCCGGGAGGAGAGGGGCGCCCTCCGCGGGGGCGGGTCCCGGGAGGAGAGGGGCGCCCTCCGCGGGGGCGGGTCCCGGGAGGAGGGGGCGCCCTCCGCGGGGGCGGGCCCCGGGCGCCGCGGCTGCTGACGTCATCACGCCCGCGCGCCGCCTCGCCGGGCAGTGGCGGCTGTGGCGGCTGTGGCGCCGGCGCCTCCGCGGCTGTGGTGGCGACCGGGGGCTTTCCGGCGACCCGGGCCCCGCGCAGCCGCTCTCGGAGCCGCCCGGCGCCGGCGGAGGCCCCGCTGCCTGCGGTCGCTGTCCCTGGCCGCCCGCCAGCAGGCCTGGCCGCTGCGGCGCGGGGAGAAGCGGCCCTCAGGGCCATGTCCAGGCCGAGCAGCGTCTCCCCGCGGCCGCCCGCGCCCGGCGGCGGCGGCGGGAGCGGCGGCGGCCCCGCGCCCTGTGGCCCTGCGGGCGGCGGCAGGGCCAAGGGGCTGAAGGACATCCGCATCGACGAGGAGGTGAAGATCGCGGTCAACATCGCCCTGGAGCGCTTTCGCTACGGGGACCAGCGAGGTGAGGCCCGCCCCCGCCGCGGCCGCGGCCGCCGGGCCCGCACCCCGAGCGAGGGGCGGCCGCCGGGCTCCGGGCCGAGTTCCCGCAGCCCGCGGCGGCGGCGCCGCCTGCTCCCGCCGTCGGCAGCCCCTGCCCTGTGCACAGAAAAAGTTGAAGGGAGTGAGCGGAGGACTCGATACATTCGTGGAAATGCACGCTGCGAAACGGCTACGCCTGGATTTCTTTCTTTTCTTTCCTTTTTGCATCAAAAGAAACGTATCTTTAGTTCCACTTTCTGTGCGCTCGCAGACAAGCAGGAGGACGCCGGTGGCCAGGTGCGCCGGGCGCAGCTGCTCCGGACGTGGGAGGCCCTTCCGGCTTGGCATTGGTCGCCGAGGGCAGGGCCGGCGGCCACCGTGGGCACCTGCCCGGGGCGCGGTCGGTGGGCCGGCTTCACCCGGGACCCCGCACTGGGCCGCCGGCTGACCCGGCAGGTGCCCCGAGCCTACCTTCCACGGAGGGGAAGCCGAGCAGTGGACACAGCCCAGTCTGTTCTGCAATGGCGAGATAAGAATTGGTGCAGCTTTGGGAGCCGAGGCAGTGCAGTTTCACGTGGAGGATCGCTAATGCTGGGCGTCCTGGGAACACAGTCCGCCGTTCCCTCAGCAGGGGAGGACTCATAGTAAAACAGGTCCATCTGTCATTTACTGACCCCAGATTCCAGCACAAATAAGAGGAGCAGTCTGGTGAACATCAGAGGCCTTTGTCACAATTGGGTTTAATTCTGGTAGACATTCTGTAGTGATTGAATTAAACTTTTCACATAAGATATAAATTTGTATGTAAGTTTTTTTTTTTAATCTGTGTGTGTATTGCTTGAAAGAAAATTGCCTGTCCACACTGCACTGCTTTTTTTTTTCCCGTGTAGAAATGGAGTTTCCCTCTTCTTTGACCAGTACTGAAAGAGCCTTTATTCATCGACTGAGTCAGTCTCTTGGTTTGGTGTCTAAAAGTAAAGGGTAAGCGGATAGCTTTCTTATTTAAAAAAGAATTATTTACCAAAAAAGGGGAAGTTGAGAAATGTTTTTGACAATGTTAAATAATTATTACTGTTTATCACTGCATTCTTAGTTATATGTCTGTAGATAAACTGGCTAGGTCCCTGTCAAATTCAGCTCTTTCCTCTTAGGTCCTCCCTGAAAAAAAATGTGAGCATGGAGAAAACTTTTCCTCTGTTATGTTAGGTTCATTGTCTGGGACCCTGCAAATTAGGCTGATAAAAGAGATGAAGAAAAAAATAAGTTTATTAACATGTGCATTGCTCACTCACACAGGGGAGAGCTGATGATGCATAACTCAAACCTGGGGCTTACGTAGCAACAATAAAGACCAATAAATTTGTAAAAAAAAGTGACAAGACAAAGGAAAAGGACTTTGAGCTTCTGGGTGTGGTAAATTATGGTTAGGTAAATATATGGGGAAGCTGACAGAATGGAAGAGAGGTTTTACCAAGGTTTTTTGTATGTGCTCTCCTGGTGCCCTCTCTGGGTTGACGAGTCTGGAGTAGTCTCAGGATTAAGAACTTCCCTCCCCTTCCTATTAAAGAGAGTGAGAACCCAGTTTTCTCTTGAGTCTTTTTCTCAGTTAGCCTCAGCTCCTTATCACCAGAGTGGCGTATCTTAGGGTGGTATACTTTGAACCCCTTCAAAGGTAGAATTTAAAATGTAAGAAAAAAAATTTTTAAAGTTGAAGGTAGTTGCTGTTAGCTGGTTCACTCCCTAAATGCCTCTGGTAAGCTGGGTTAGGCCAGGCTGGGTTTCCCACATGGGTAGCTGGGACTCAAGTACTTGAACCATCACCTAGTGTCTTCCAGGATGTGCAGTAGCAGGAAGCTGGATTGTAAGCAGAGGTACCAAGACTCTTTTTTTTTTTTTTTTTGACAGGCAGAGTTAGACAGTGAGAAAGAGAGACAGAGAGAAAGGTCTTCCTTCTGTTGGTTCACCCCCCAAATGGCTGCTACGGTCGGCGCAGTGTGCCGATCCGAAGCCAGGAGCCAGGTGCTTCCTCCTTCCTCCTGGTCTCTGTGGATCCTTTTCATTTGGGAATAGGGATGGTGGGATCTGTGTAGAGAAGTTTCTCAGTGTTGGTGCTGTTGATACTGTGGGCAGTTCTTTATTGTGTTGTGTTCTATAGGTTGTTTAGCAGCATACCTGCCTGGTCTTTACCCATTAGATGCCACCAATGTGCTCAGTCCCAGTTGTGACAGCCAAATAAAACCTGTAGACATTGCCAAATATTCCGCATGGAGCAAAGTTGCACCAGATTGAGAACCAGAGGTATACAGAAAAAAAATGCAGCTTACGTGTTTAGGTTACCAAGAATAAAAACAAAACTTTATAAATATGTTAATTAATAGCAGGAAGGTCTTAAGGTGAAAGTAGCTGATGTAGTAATGTCTTGTGTGTGCAGGCCACCACCCTGATAGATCGCTAAGATGGGTTTGGCTTAGGTGAATATACACTGTTAATATACACTGTGAAAGGCTGGAGCTGGAGTGGTTAATTCTTGAACATGCTCATATTGTAGTCCACTAGGTAGATAAAATGCTGCTCTTGACAAAAAAGTAGAAGTATAATATAGAGCTGCAGTCTTTTATCCAAAATCCCCTAGGCCAAAATTTTGAGGTTCAGATTTTTCAGTTTAGAAGGGTTGTTAAGATGTATTTGCAGTGTATGATGTAATAGCCCCAATAATGGATAAGCCATCTTTAATCACATTAATATTTTGCTGGAAAGCATGTGACTATTCACAAGAAGAAGAATGTTAATAACTTCATATCTGTTTAATCATCTTTCTTACCGAGTGAGATTGCTGCAGACTTCTAAGAAAATTTTGGTTTTCAAAGCTGTTTGGGTTTAAGGGTTGCAGAGATGTTTTGGGCCTGTGCTGGAAACACCTGTTAAAAATGTGCTGTTCTGCAGCCGTCTCATTCTTTGGTTAAATGGGGCTTGAATTTTGAACAGCAGACTTAGAAAGTGATCATGAGAAATTATTCTTAGAAGAGCAGTCCATTACAGTTGATGAGTTTACTTCTGTTGAGTAGCATGCTCATTGAAGAGGTGACCCAGAAAGGAGAAATGTCTAGGGAGAGCAGAACAAGAAGGAAGTTAATGGCACAAGAAAAGGGGGCGGAGGAAACGTTGAACCAGGAAGAGAGAGAGAGAGAGAGAGAGAGGGGAAAAGATGCCAAGAGAAGCAAGGCAGTCTCATGTACTTACACAGTCCCTGATGCTTGTGACTGTGACGCCCCCAAGTCTTGTCTTAGGAAATATCTCAGCTCCCTTCCTCTCTTCTTCATCTTTGAACAAACTTTTTCCTGTTTTTATCTAGTAGTCCTTGCAACTTTCAAATGCTTTTCCTAGAGTTTACATGAAGAACTAAATTACTTTGTACTTCTCAAATCTGTTCTTTTCATTATATGAAACTGTACCTGGCTTATATTTTATGGGCTCTTTTGTTCAGCCTTCAGCAAAGACTTATTTTTTAAATCTAGCATTAACTTAGCTAATTGGAGTGTGTGTGTGTGTGTGTACACATGATAGGCTTCTGTAGTACATATTTGATAGGCAACCTGGTATAGAGCAAAGGGCAGGAAACCTTTTTTTTTTTTTTAAATGATTTATTCATTTATTTGAAAGGCAGAGTTACAGAAAGAGGGGTGGGGAGAGAGTGAGGGAGATTGAGAGATCTCCCCACCGATTCACTCCCCAAATGGCCCCATGACCAGGGCTGGGCCAGGCCAAAGCCAGAAGCCAGGAGCATTATTCAGGTCTCCCATGTGGTTGCAGGTGCTCAACTACTTGGGCCATCTTCTGCTGCCTTCCCAGGTGCATTAGCAGAGAGCTGGATCAGAAGTGGAGCAGCCAGTACACAAACAAGCCCAAAGGGGATGTCAGCATTGCAGGCTGCATCTTAACTCATGATACCACAACTCAGGCGCCAGATACCTGCATTCTATTCCCAGTCTCTCTTTGCTTCATTCTGCAACTTTGGCCAAGTTTCTTCACTTTGAAGGCCCATTTGAAAAAATGTACTGTGCAAGGGCCAGTGCTGTGGTGTATCAGGTAAAGCTGCCGCCTAAAGTGCCTGCATCCTGTGTGGGCTCCAATTCGAGTCTTGGCTGCTCCACTTCCATTCCAGCTCTCTGCTATGGCCTGGGAAAGCCGTAGAAGATGGCCCAAGTCCTTGGGCTCTTGTACCTGAGTGGGAGACCTGGAGGAAGGTCCTTGCTGCTGGCTTCAGATTGGCCCAGCTTTGGCTGTTACAGCCATTTGGGGAGTGAACAAAGAGCTCTCTCCCTCTCTGACTCTGCCTCTCTAACTTTACCTTTCAAATAAATAAATACATCTTTAAAAAAAAATTATATATATATAGTAGAGAGAAATTATGCCTGTGACTGCCAGTGTCACAGGCTTATTAGGTACTGATACATGCTACTCATCCTGACCAGGGGGCTTTACCTTACCAGGAAACCCTCCATTTTCCCATTTAGTTATTGCCTTGTGCCTGGGAAGGTTGCATTGTGCCTTCCCTCAGATAAAATAGGAAATATGGATTTAAAATTATGAACTCTTAGTGAATTTTTTCACATCCATAAAAAAAGAAACCTTGCTGTGTCCATTAATAATAGCAGGAAGTAACATTTATTAAGTGATCTTTTGCAACGGGCGTTATTCTAGGTACATTACATGGATTTGTCATTTAATCCTTGCAACAGATTTTTTGAAACACATCTTTCTTAAAAAAATATTTATTTATCTGAGAGTCGGGATTACAAGGAGAGAGAAGGAGAGATTGAGAGAGAGAGATCTTCCATCAGTTGGTTCACTCCCCAAATGGCCACAGCGACCAGGGTTTGGCCATGCTGAGGAGCCAGGAGATTGTTCTAGGCCACTCATGTGGGTGGCAGGGACCCAAAGATTTGGGCCATGGTCTGCTGCTTTCCCAGGTGCATTAGCAGAGAGCTGAATTGGAAGTGGAGCACCCGGAACTGGTATGGGATGCCAGCGCTGCAGGCTGTTGCTAAACTCACCGCACCATAGTGTCAGCCTCTTAGAGAAACGGGGAGAGGGAGCTCTCATCCATCAGTTCATTTCCAAAATGTCTAATGGCTGGAGCTGGGTGGGGTAAATTGGAAGCTGGGACTCTCAATCTAAATGTATGTGGGGAGCAGGAGCCCAATTACTTGAGATACAACCCTGCCTCCCAGGGTCTGCATTGGCAGGAAACTGGAGTCAAGAGCCAGAACTAGGTATCTAACTCAGGCACTGTGAGGTAGGATGTAGGCATCTTAACCGTGAGGCTAGATGTCTGCTCCCACCCTCCAACAGTTTTGTAAGTTGTGTTATATATTATTATTATTATTATTATTTTTTGACAGGCAGAGTTAGACAGAGAGAGAGAGAGACAGAGAGAAAGGTCTTCCTTTGGTTCACCCCCCAAATGGCCACTACGGCTGGTGCACTGCGGCTGGTGCACTGCGCCAATCCGAAGCCAGGAGCCAGGTGCTTCCTCCTAGTCTCCCATGTGGGTGCAGGGCCCAAGCACTTGGGCCATTCTCCACTGCCTTCCCGGGCCACAGCAGAGAGCTGGACTAGAAGAGGAGCAACCGGGACAGATCTGGCGGCCCAACTGGAACAGAACCGGTGCCTCAACCGGAGTGCCGGCGCCGCAGCGGAGCATTAGTCTAGTGAGCTGCAGCGCTGGCTGTTTTATATATTATTAATGTCTTGTACCTGTATACCTGATGTGGCAATTAAACTTAGAACTATTAAGTGATTTTCTTGAGGTTGGACAAATAGCATATGGCAGAGCCAGGATTTGAATATAGTTGATGTGTAACTAGTTAATTTTTGACATTCACAATAGGTTCATAGCAGTGTACTTGGTACTGTGGAAGAGTTAGAACAGAAATTAGATAGATTTTTACCTCCAGCTTGCTTATAGTCCATTAAGACCATACAAGGAACAAATTTACTGTAAGCATAGTTAACATGACATGAAAGCAACTGTTCAATTTAGTGACAAAATAAAGTTAGTGGGCTCGCACTGTGGTGTAGCTGGTTAAGCCTCTTCCTGCAGTGCTGGCATCCCATATGGTTTGAGTCCCGGCTGCTCCACTTCCAATACAGCTCCCTGCTCATGGCCTGGGAAAACATAGGAAGACGGGATAAGTCCTTGGGCCGCTGCCCCCATGTGGGAGACTGGGAAGATGCTCCTGCCTCCTGGCTTCAGGTGGGCCCAGCTCTGGCCATTTGGGGAGTGAACCAGCAGATGGAAGACCTCTCTCTCTTTCTAACTCTCAAATAAATAAAAATAAATCTTTTAAAAAAAGTTAACAGATTTGATGTATAATATTGTCTAGAGAATCATAAAAAAAGCCAAATTAGTGTGATAGACTTTTAAGAAGTTGTAATTCTGTGCAACAGTATTAGGGAGAAAAGGATCTGGAACTAGATCTTTGCATCTGTGTGCCTAATGGAAGTACAAATTAAGAGAGTGTGAAATTAAGTATTTAGCAGACATCAAACAAATGCCTGTCACATTTTTAGCTCCATGGTGACCGTGACCATTTAAACTAATCATTTCAGAGTTCATTTCTTTAAGTAATTTTTAAAATTGATCTCAGTTTTGGGAAGTAGGACTTAATGAAGCATACAGTTGTATTTGAGTTAAATATTTACTAATGTTTAGTAAATTGATATATCAACTTTGATTAGTTATATCATCTTTTTTTTAAGGTTTTATTTATTTGAAAGGGTTACAGAGAGAGGTAGAGACAGAGAGAGAGGTCTTCCATCTGGTGGTTCATGCCCCAAATGGCTACAGTGGCTAGAGCTAAGACAAAGTGAAGCCAGGAGCTTCTTCTGAGTCTCCTACGAGGGTGCAGGGGCCCAAGGACTTGGGCCATCTTCTCCTGCTTTCTCAGGCTCATTAGCAGGGAGTTGGATTTTAAGTGGAACAGCTGGGACTCAAACTGGCACTCATATGGGCTGCCAGCTCTGCAGACTGGGGCTTTAACCTGCTGCGCCAAAGTGCTGGCCCCTATATAATTTTTATTTAAAAAGAAAAAGCCATTGAAATGCTAAAGGTTTATTATGGCATGCATTGGTTAGGAAGTTATAAGAGTTATGTAAGTTAAGTTATGATCTTATCTGTGATCTTAATTTTTGTTTATATTTTCTATTTTATTTATATTTAAATTGACAAATATTAGCATATATTTATATGGTACATGTGCTTATCATGGAAATTGGGTAGTTAGCATATCCATTACCTCAAATACCTATTTTGTTGGTGAAAACATTTTAAATTCTCTTATTTTGAAATATACCCATTGTTAACTGTAGTCATCCTATTATGCAATACAATACTGGAACTTGGTCTTGTTGACTGTGACTTTAAACCCATAGTGTCTTCCTTCCCTCCCATATTTATTTTTATGCTTTACGTTTTATGATTTAAAATAAATTGTGAAGTTGTCTAACATCTATTCCATATGTAGTTGCTAGTTAATTTTGCTTTGTAAAGCATACTACTCTTTGGTTTTTCATAAAGACATAGTGTTATTTACCTTGGGATGAATGCATGATGGGATTTCAGTGTGTCAGATTATACAGCAGAATGACTCTCTACTGTGTTGCGGACCCAGCATTGTGGTGCAGCAGGTTAAGCTGCCTCTTGCAACACCGACATCCCATCTGAGCACCAGTTCGAGTCCCACTCTGATCCAGTTCCCTGATAATGTGCCTGGGAAAGTGGTGGAAGATGATCCAAATCCTTGGGCTCCTGCCACCTACATGAGGGACACAAATGGAAGTCCTGTCTTTTGCCATCTGGGGAGTGAACCAGTTGATGGAAGTTTCTCTCTCCCTCCCTCTACCTACCTTCCTACCTACCTTCCTCTCTCTCTCTCTCTCTCTCTTCCTTTCTTTGTAACTCTGCCTTTAAAATTAATATATACATCTTTAAAGAAATATCTACGGTTTTGATTGTTTCCATCCTCATAGTGATGAAGCAAATATTTTACCCACAGCTTTATTAATCTTTTTATGCTATATCATAAGATGTGTATCACTGACGTCATGGTGCTGAATGTGGTAGGAATGAGCAATAATAGCCACAGGCAGAATTTTGTATTAAAACATTGAAACTGTCAAGTTAATGCTATCTTTTTGTCCTACCATCTGTATTGAAACTGAATTCAGACATTTTTAAGTGGTAATGACTAAGTACTTGCCCCTGGTTAATTTGAGTTATTTTTATACATAAATGTTAAAGTATTCTTAGACAGCCTATGTAAGGAAGGTTTCAATGTGATCCATTATTTGAGTTGTCAACTTGTTGAAAAAAGTCTATATTTTACTCAATTTTGTAATCCTAGCTTCTACTCTAGTTCCAGGCATATAGTAAATGCTTAATATATGGTGAATGACTGAAAAGATAATCAGGTTAAAGGTAAAATACAGCAAAAGCTTCCTGAGATGATTTTTAAGAAAAAGCATTTTAGAACAAATAGAAATTAGAGATTTTTTAAAAGATTTATTTATTTGAAAGTCAGAGTTACACAGAGAGAGGAGAGGGAGAGAGAGAGAGAGAGAGAGAGAGAGAGAGATCTTCCATCCACCGGTTCACTCCCCAGTTGGCCGCAACGGCCAGAGCTGTGCTGATCTGAAGCCAGGAGCCAGGAGCTTCTTCCGGGTCTCCCACGCGAGTTCAGAGGCCCAAGGACTTGAGCCATCTTTCACTGCTTTCCAGGCCATAGTAGAGAGCTGGATCAGAAGTGGAGCAGCCGGAACTAGAACCGGTACCCATATGGGATGCTGGCACTGCAGGCGGCTGCTTTACTTGCTACGCCACAGTGTCGACCCCAGGTTATGTTTTAACTATTTTATTTTTATAGCTTCATTTTAAGTATTGCTAAGTACCTGTTGAGGAGTAATTGACAGTATATAAAGCTTACTGTTCATTACAGCATTCAAGTAGTTTCTAGAGTTAAAAATCTTGGTAAATAGGAAGTTTCACTTAGAAGACATATATATCTAAAGCTGTATAGGTTAATGCTTAGTTTAGTATCAATCTAATAATGAAGATGTTGACAAAATTTTAATGAAAACTATAAAATTATACTTATGATTTTCACTGTATTTGTGGCTGTGTTGCTCATTTCTATAATATGATAGTGACTAACAAATGGTAAAACACTTCATGGAATATTCTGGGTAACTTTACAATTTAAAAAACTGTTTTCCCCTAATTGTGATAATTTTCATTTATTTAGAACCTACTATGTGACAGATACTGTACTTCATATGCATGATCTTATTTAACCATATGAATGATCTTTTGAAACAAACTATTATCTTAGGTGCAGAATCATTAAATAATTTGCTTAGGGTCCCCACAGCTAGCAAGTGGTAGAACTGGATTACAAATCTAGGTCTGTGTGCCTTTAGAGGCCGAGCTCCTAACCAGTATCACACTGCTGGATTATAGGTGTGAACCACTTAGGAAAACAAATATAGTTATAGCAAATCATCACTATCTTACAATTCAAGGGTAGAACCAGAAGCTTTGAAAAAATTCTTTCACTTGAAAAAATGTATATTAAAAAGAGTTACTAGTGATTCAGATTTATGCATTTGTGGTCCAGCTGCTATGCTTGGCTCTCTTAACAGGTGTTCATGGGAGTGTAACATTACCAGCAGACTGTAGAAACAGTGCAACACACTAGTCAGAATAGTGAGCCATCACTTTTTCATAATCATTTTTAGGTTCCGTAGTTCAGATTGTTTTTTCCCTCTATATGCTTCCCAGCATGTATTAACTGGTGGTGTTTCATCTACCATGAAGTCTGCTAAAGAACTGTAACATTTATGGGTAAATGATTTTAAAACTGGATCTATAGCATTTTGAAATTTTAATTGAAAATAGTTTTGTGGCTGCTTGAGCCCCAAACCTTTATGTCCTGAATATTTTGGAACTTTTAGCTTAGCTCAAAGCATTTTAATTTGTTTTTCACTGTTTAGCTTGAGATGTATTTTTCAAGTGGGCATATATCATCTATGAAAAAGTTGACTCACTCTCTCTATATATGTAGTAAATAAATGATTTCTGTTAATATTCAGAAAGGGAGCAAATAGATACCTAACTGTGAAGAAGAAAGATGGATCAGAAACAGCTCATGCAATGATGACCTGTAATTTGACCCATAATACAAAACATGCTGTTAGGAGCCTAATTCAAAGATTTCCTGTCACCAATAAAGAGCGCACTGAACTTCTGCCTAAAACAGAAAGAGGAAATGTGTTTGCAGTTGAAGCCGGTATGTATTTTCTGGGGAGATTCTTGTTTGCCCTATTATTTGATGATCGTTTTCCATTTTAGATTTATTTTTAAAAACTAAGATGAAGTAAGTTTTCTCAAATTGAATAGTTTTTTAGAAATGAGTAAGAGTTGTGAAAGATTTAAAACAAAATGCAACATTAAGGCATGTCAGAGTTGAACAAGTTTGTTTTTTAAGGAGTTATAATAACAACTACCATTTATTAAGCACTTGCCGTGTGCTAGGGAGCATACTGTGTCAGAGGTCTCATAGCAACAGCCCTTGCAAGGTACACATTTCCTCTGTTTCAGAGGGGCAGAAACGGGTTCAGAGACTTCAATAATTTACTCATGGCCTCTCAACCAACCAGGAAACCGTAGACCTGGGATTTGACCCTAAGTTCTGCACTTTGCTGCTTTGTACTGTCACGATGCGCTCAGGAGTGAGATTGTGAATGGGGCTTTAGCTTCTGGTAAGGGATGGGACAGACTCATTATTACATTAAATTGCTCAAAGGTAGATGAATGAATGTATTGTAAAATGAAGTTGTAGTTTTACTACTTGGAAATGTAACTTCCCTAGTGAGAAAATTGTTTCATTGCCTATGGTGACAGAATTTGCTAAATTATTACCATCTGTTAGAGCAGATCTGTAGAATGTGGGAAATATGTTATCCTGGATATTATGCAAAGAATATTTCCAGCTATATGAAGAACATAAAATGCTTCATGCCTCTTTTTTATTCCTGCCTACTTTGTTAATCGTGGATGTTGGCTGAAATGTTCGATCAGGACATTTCTTAAGCCCTAGGATGCTATATTGATGCATGCTGTTCAGTTTGACCACTTAGTCTTTTGAGTATAACTTTAAGGGTATGTATAGGGTATTTTCCTTTTTTTGTAATGTATTTTCATATTGTTTATAACAGATTTTATAGTGCACATTAGTTACTGTAAAATTTTACTATTCTATGACATTAACAGAAACTTAGAACAGGTTTGAAAATAATTTAAGATTATCAAAATTGTGTTTTAAAAATTTTTAATAGTTATCGAATGATTAATTTTTATTCATTTTGCAACATTATGCATCAGAAATACTTTTGAAGGCTTACTTTTTGGAATAACAAGTGTTGTGCAGTAGTTGAGGCATTGCTTGCTAAAAACATTGTCTAGACTAAGAAGAAATGCTTGAAAGGACATTAGAAATTACTTATCTTTACTTTTAACATTTTTTTCAATGTTGGTCATAAATTTTTGTTCTTCTATTCATGTTCAAAGAAAACCGAGAAATGAGCAAGACAAGTGGGCGACTCAACAATGGCATACCTCAAATTCCAGTGAAAAGAGGGGAGTCTGAATTTGATTCTTTCCGGCAATCTTTGCCAGTGTTTGAGAAACAAGAAGAAATTGTTAAAATAATTAAGGAAAATAAAGTAGTTTTGATTGTTGGAGAAACTGGGTCTGGAAAGACCACGCAGGTTTGTTTCTTTTTTGGTGTTTATAGAAGAAATTTAAAATATCCATGTTGTAATTTTGTACAAATGTATATGTGTTATAAAATACAGAAAAAGAAACATCTGGTTATCCTAATGGTTATTTCAGAGATGGATTACTGCTGAGGATACATTTTGAGCGTTTGTAAAAAGCAAATGGTTTAAATTATTTATTTAAAAATTACTATTTGGCTTTTATTTAAACAGAGATGATGATGTGACTTGGTGTTATTGTAGGAATATAGGCTTGGGCTTGGGCTCAAATTCCAGTTTCCTCACTTACTGGATATGAAGTTTCAGGCTAGTTTTATACTCTCTGAGCTAGAATCTGGGACTAAAAATTACTGCTTTTCAAGGTGAGGATTAGAGAAAATCTCTGTAGTGTCTGTGTTAGTGTTTCACATGTAGGAGCTAAAGGTGGGACCAGGAACGTGGTATAGTGAGTAAAGCCGCTACCTGCAGTGTCAGCATCCTATAAGGGCACTGGTTAGAGTCCTGGCTACTCCAGTTCCCATTCAGCTCTCTGCTATGGCCTGGGAGAGCAGTGGTAGATGAACCAAGTACTTGGATCTCTGCACCCACATTGGAAACCCGGAAGAAGCTCCTGGCTCAGATCGGCCCAGCTTTGGCCCTGTAGCTGTTTGGAGATTGAATCTGTGGATGGAAGATCTCTGTCTGTCTGTCTGTCTCTCTGTTAACTCTAAAAACAAAAGTAGCTAAGGCTAAAGTAAAAGCAGTCACAACACAAGTATTAATATAATATAAAGTTGATTGAAGAATGGATTAAATCGGATAGGTTTTACTTGGGTATTCAGAATCAAAGTACCTCATCAGCATGGTTCCTATCTGTTCATGGTAACAGATAGGAAGTAAGTGTGGCATGATATGGTGTTTTCTTATGTATGTTCTTTTAGCATTTCACTGTCAGCACTAAAATTACTTTGTTGTTAATAGAGTTCAGATAAGATAATATGTTTGCACTTTTTCTTTTTTATGGTATGGACAAAATTTGCTTTTTACAATTACTTAAGATTTCCCATGGTTATATTGATGAGTTTAATAAACAGCCTATAGGTAAGGCAAAGTGGTGGAAAAGTGAATTAGTCCATTTTCCATTGCTGTAACTAAATCCAGTAGATTGGGTTGTTTATAACAAATAGAGGTTTACTTAGCTCACAGTACTGAAGCTGGGAAAAAGCATGGCACTGCCATCTAGTGAGTACCTTGCAATGGGGGAAGGCATCAGTGGTGAGACAGAATAAGTGTACTAGTGGGGTGTGTGTTCGTTTCTTATACAGCTGCTCATGCCATTACGGGGACCCTATCCTCATAACCTCATCTAATCCTGATTGCCTCCCAAAGACCCTGATTCCAAATACCACTAATGTGATTTTGGGTGTTAAATTTCTAACATGTGAATTTTGGGGCAACACATTCAAACTGTAGCAGAGAGGTTGACTATCAACTTTCACAGTTACGTACTTATTGGACTTCACTGTTTTCAGAGTAGTACGACTCTTTATCCTTAAAACTTGAGCCTGCAAACCTAAATAATGAAAAAAGTAATAACATTTTATCTGACAATATATAAAAGTTTTGTTTAGTGTGAGTCCTTTTAGAATTCAGTCAGGCTTTCATGGAGTCATTCTAAAGAATCTGTTCAGATGTCTTTGGTTGTTTTATTTTTATTTTATTATTTTTTAGTGGATATTTGGCATGGTGTTTAAGACACCATTTGGGATGCCTGCATCCAGATTAGAGTGCCTGGATTCAAGTCGTGGCTCTGCTCCCAATTCCAGCTTTCTGCTAGTGCACACCCTGGGAGGCAGGAGGTTATGACTTAAATAATTGGGTTCCAGCTCTCATGTGCAAGACCTCGATTGAGTTCATGGCTACTGGCTTCAGCGAAGCTTAGCCTTGGCTGTTGGGGGCATTTGTAAATGGATCAGTGGGTGAAAGATGTCTCCCTCTGTCTGCCTCTCAAATTAAATAAGTAAACATTTTTTTTTTTAATGGAGTAAGTTTACCATTAGGTGTTAATTGTAGCAGTTTTAATTAAACCGAGTGGAGATTACGGAAGTTTTGATAAATTATTAACGCTCTTATTTAAGTTATCTGAATGTCCCTTCTAATGATATTTGTATATCAGACTGATGAAGGGCTGTTTTTCATAATTATACATATATAATTTTAATACTTAATAATTAAACTTATAAGTAAATATTATACTCTTGATTTTCAAGAAGGAAGTAGTAATTTAATAGATTTAAACTTAAGAAATCTATTTTGTTAAGGAGATAAAGTAAAATCGTTAGTGTTTCTTCCCGTGAAACACAAAACAGAGGATAAAATAGTGCTATTGGTCAGTTTTATCTTAACTTTGATGGTATTAAGAAGTTAAATGCTTTTATGTTTTTCCCTTTTTCATGTTTACTATGTAAAACGTAAACATTGGGGCCAGCACTGTGGCATAGAAGGTTAAGCCTCCGCCTGTAGTGCCAGCATCCCATATGGGAACTGAGTTCGAGACCCAGCTGCTCTTCTCCTGATTCAGCTTCCTGCTAATGAGCCTGAGAAAGCAGTGGAAGGTGACTGAAGTGCTTGGGACCCCATACCCATGTGGGAGACCCGGAAGAAGCTCCTGGCTCCTGGCTTTGGCCTGGACCAGCTCTGACTGTTGTAGCCATTTGGGAAACAAACCAGTGGATGGAGGATCTCTCTCCTTTTCTCTGTATTTCTGACTTTCAAATAAACAAATACATCTTGATTAAAAAGTGTAAACATTGTGGAAAATGTTACATAGGAAGTAAAAGAGAATTGTAATTTCGTGCCACCTTTTCTCCTGTATTATTTTCAGAAACTTGAAATACATGTTTTTGGTTTCTTTCTTGGGGATTGGTTTGTGTGTTGTTGTTTTCTTTGTAAGACTGATATAAATTGCTTTTTTTAAAAAAAGATTTATTTATTTGAAAGTCAGTGACAGAGAAAGATCTTCAATCTGTTGGTTCACTCCCCAGATGGTTGCATTGGGCAGGACTGAGCCAGGCTGAAGCCAGGAGCTTCTTCTGGGTTTCCCACGTGGGTTCAGGGGCCCAAGCGCTTGGGCTATTATCTGCTGCTTTTCCCGGGCCATTAGCAGGAGCTGGATTGGAAATGGAGCAGCCAGGACATGAACTGGCACCCATATGAGCTGCTGGCATCACAGGCAGTGGGTTTTACCTGCTGCACTACAACACTGGCTCCTGTTTATTTGAGAGTTACAGAGAAAGAGGGAGAGACAGTGTCTGCTGGTTCACTCCCTAAACGGCCACAACGGCCAGAGAAGGCTGGTCCGAAGCTAGGAGCTGCTTCTTGGTTTTCCACATGGATTCAGGGACCCAAGCATTTGAGCCATCTTTCACTGCTTTCCCAGGCACATTAGCAGGGAGCTGGATTGGAAGTGGAGCAGCCAGGACTCAACCTGGTGCCCTTATGGGATGCTGGCATCACAGGTAGTGGCTTTTAACCTGCCACAATTCTGGCCCCAAACTGATTTTTAAAAAACAAACATGGGATAGTCATATACATACACTTTACAAGTTGCTCTTTTCTACTTACCAGAAATTGGATGTTTCCCCATACCAGTATGTAGAGATGTATGTTGTTTTTGAAAGAACTGTGTAGCATTCTTGTGCATTTTGGTAATGATAAAAAAAGACACAAAGCTGATAGTTTACTATGTTCTGAGTTTTTACAAGGGTTGTCTCATTTCAGCCTCTCAGCCCTAAGACATGTTACATTATCTCTTTTTTAAAAAAAGGAGTAAAAACTAAAATTCGTGGATGTTAGGAATCTTACTATTAAATTGTACGTTCTTATGTTGTATATTGATATTGCTTTCCTTCTTTGTGCAAGTTTTTCAGTAGGGTAAATTCCAAGAATAGGAAAAACCAGATTAAGGGTATGGCAGTTAAAATTTTAGTACCTATATTAAGTAGTTATTGTGTAATAACTCTGAAGAGTTTAAATATATGATATTGAGGGGCTGGCGCCATGGCTCACTTGGTTAATCCTCCGCCTGCGATGCCAGGATCCCATATGGGCGCTAGTTCTAGTCCCAGTTGCTCCTCTTCAGTCCAGCTCTCTGCGTGGCCCAGGAAGGCAGTGGAGGTTGGCCCAAGTACTTGGGCCCCTGCACCCGCATGGGAGACCAGGATCAAGCACCTGGCTCCTGGCTTCGGATCGGCACAGTGGCGGCCGTAGCGGCCATTTGGGGGTGAACCAATGGAAGGAAGACCTTTCTCTCTGCCTTTCTCTCATTGTCTACGGCTCTACCTGTCAAATAAATAAATACACGATATTGAAAGTTTGCATTTTCCTAAAGCTTAAGCAAAAATGAATATTAATTTTTTACCCTTATTAAGCTGGTAAGAATACAGTGTTTGATTTACATTTCTTTGATTCTTAGAGAGTTAAGTATATTTTCATTTGCTTGTTATGTGTTTGTTTATCTTCAGTTGAGATTCTTACTTATGTCCTATTTTTCTTTTGGCTTAATTATTTTGAATTTTTTTTTAGACCATGTATTATAGATGCATGGGTGTTGTCTTTTAAATATCTTAAAAATAATTTCTTCTTATTTTTGTTTGTTTTTTTAACTTTTTTTATGGTACCTTTTATGGTACTTTTATTTTTTTATTTAGTCAAATTTGTCATTTTTTGGTTAGGTTTTGGACTGTGCTAAAGAAGGCACTTCCTATTCTCAAATTTAAAAAAAGAAAAATGACTTTCTTTTTTCTCCTTTCTTTTGTTGTTGTGATCATATTTTTTCTTTTAATTGTTTCAACCAATTTTTATTTACAGAATATAAATCTCTTCAAAAAGATGTATTCCTTCATTTAGCCAGTGGTAAAAAGCCTTATTAAACAGAAACAAAGCCTAAACATCATCACTTATATTTAAACAGAGATACAGATCCTTAAGAATATATGAACATAGAACACAAA